TTTCGACGGGATGGGAATGTCGTTGGTGAACAGGATGTACAGCAGAGGAGCAAGTACTGAGCCCTGAGGGACACCAGCCTTGATAGTTCGCTGTGAAGAAAGCGTGCCTTCGTGTCTAAAACGAAAGGTACGTTGTTTTAAATAGGAGGCCACGAGACGAACTAGACGACCGGGGAGACCTATTTTATAGAGCTTGTAGATGAGGCCTGTGTGCCAGACTCTATCGAAAGCTTTGGCTATATCGAAAAAGACCGCGATGGTCTTATGACGACGAGGATAGAAACCGCTGAGGATATATTCCACAATGCGGTGAACTTGTTGGGGACATGAGTGTTTGGCTCGGAAGCCGAATTGATGGGGAATGATAAGAGGGTCGCCGTCTGTGGGAAACAGATAGCGCCTCATACGAATTTGGATGACTCTTTCGAAGAGCTTGCCCATTGCCTTGAGGAGGCTAATGGGGCGATGGCTGGAGGGGGAGGTTGAGAGGCTTGCCTGGCTTGGGAATTCCAATCACAGTAGCCTCTTTCCACGTAGTGGGAAAATAACTAAGGTTGAAGCAGGCGTTGAAGATAATAGATAAAAAGGTTAACACCTGCTCGGGAAAGTGTTTTAGGGCTTGGTTGGAGATGCCATCCGCGCCCGGAGCCTTTTTAGGCTTAAGTCCTTTGATGAGGGATGAAATCTCATCATTGGACACAGAGATAGGTTCGGAGGCCGTGGGGAGTGAGTTCCGGCGGCGGACCTCATCCTCCACTGCCTGGACGTGTGAGGGGTCGACGGGTTGAGAACTAGGAGAGCATTGAGCGGCAATGCTATCTGCAAAGCACTCAGCCTTTTCCTCGTCCTCGAAGGCAACCGTGCCGTCGGGACGGGAGAGAGGGGGAGTGTGGGTGATAGCGTCTATGTGGAGGGCTCTAGCCATCTGATAGTACGCTGTGTGAGATGGAGAGATATTCTCCATGAGCTTACTCTTTTCGAGATCTTGGAATTCGGAGAGGCGGAAGCGGAGTTTTCGTTGAAGACGATTGGCCGCGCGCCTGTATTCGGGGGTGGGATATTTTGCTGCTCTCCGGAAAGCAGCTTTTTTGGCTTTTAATAGGTTGCTAATGTGTAGGGGAAGCCCACTATTGTTAGCAACCGGGACGACCCTTTCGTTCTCCTTAAGGGAGGATTTAATAAGGGTGGAGAGTGAATCGACCGCGGTGTCGATTTTTTCGGGACTGTCTAAGTCCGACGGTATGGGGATGGTAGAATCCTGTGAGTCCAGAGCTTTAGCTAGGGACTCCTTGAATCCCTTCCAGTTAGTGAAGGTTTTCGTGTGTGTTGGGGGAGGTGGCTGATGGCCAAGAATGAGGGAGACCGGTCGGTGATCTGAACCCAGATCGTCTAGTGTCTCGATTGCTCTGAGGTTGAGAGAAACTCCTTGGAGTAACGCAAAATCTAATACATCGGGTGCGTGATCGGTGTTATCGGGAAAGTGAGTAACACCGAGAGGACTATGGACGGTAATATCAAGAGACTGCGTGATATCGAGCAGTATCTTGCCACTAGGGGACGTAGTGCGGCATGTCCATTCAGTATGCTTGGAGTTAAAATCTCCAAACATAATGACTGAATTGCCCAAGGATAAAATGGCCTCAAAATCTTTTTTTGAGGGGATAGGTTCCTGAAGGGATGTAACAGGAGGCTATGAGGATGGACTGATGTCCAGTCATAGCTAGCCTGCATACCGTGGCTTCCATGTTGGTAAGCTGCGGAGTAGAAATGGGGGAGCAATGAAGTGTCTTCTTGTAATAGATGGCCGTTCCGCCACCTCGGCGGTCGGGTCTGTCATTACGAAGAAGAGAGAAGTTTTTAATAGAAAGGCCTCTAGTGTCCTTAGCTTTGAGATTAGTTTCCTGTAGGAGGAGGAAATCGACTTCACGATTTCGAAGAAAGAGCTTAAGCTCTGGGAGGTTATTTCGCAAGCCGCGAATATTAAATGATACAAGCGATAAACCCTTGGGTTTGATACGACCGTGTGATCTTGGTAGGTTAATTTGCTCAGACATTGGAGTTAAGTTAATTAAGTTAACTTAACTTACAACGCTAGCAGAAGATCGTTGTGTTCAGCAAGAGCGAGGAGACGCTCTTGAGGGGACTTCGCCGCGCGCAGTTTGCGTGCTATAACGGTGATCTCCCTAACATCAATATTCCTAATCGCGGAATATAGCGTGTTGTAGTCGTCGGGTGTGGGCTCTGCCTCGTGTGCGTACGAGGTTGTCCGCGGTGGGTCTGCCTTTATGGGCCCCCAGGGAAAGACTGGAGGCTGCATTGGCTTGGAGAAGCCCGGAGGGGGCCGAATTATGCCCTGAGGGGGCCTAGGGGGACCCTGAGGGGGCCTAGGGGGACCCTGAGGGGGCCTAGCGGGACCCTGAGGGGGCCTAGGGGGACCCTGAGAGGGTCGAGGGAAGCCCTGGATAGGCTGAGAAGGGCCCTGACGGGGCCGTTGTTGGAGGGCCGGGAATGAGCGGTCATTCACCGGCGGTGGAGCTTTCCTACTGGGGCGAGGTTGAGGTGCGCGTGGGCAACCCTTGTAGTTCGCCGGGTGTCCTGTCTGGTTGCACAGGACACAGGCGGGCGGGGATTCGGCGTCTTTGGGCCGGGGGACACTCTTTAGTGTTATGAGGTTCCAGGCACTTCACGCACCTGGGTGGGGCGGAGCAGTTGGCTGCCGCGTGACCATAAAGTTGGCAGCGGTGGCACTGCGCCGGGAAACCGGGCCTATGTGGGGCTCTACCTTCACCCTTGACAGGCCGCACACTGTGCACACCTGCCGGAAGATGGATTTAGCCTCCGGCACGTTTGTCAGGATTACTAGGGCAAGGTTGTATCTCTTGCCCGTTCTATTGTGCATTTTGTGCACTGCTTCTACGGGGAAACCTTGGGACTTAAGGTCCTCAAGGATTTCCTCGTTAGAGAATTCGAATGGGACGCCTCTGATGACGGCCCTGACTTTGCGCTCTTCAGGGAGAGCGTACGTGTGTAAGATACCCTTTCGGCTGTGAATAGCCGGGTGATTGCGCGGAAGTCCTCAATCAAGCTTGGGATGATTTTAATCGCCTCCCCGAGGTTGACGGTATGATCGTATTTAATACCTGCGTCGTAGCAGGTCTTAGACAAGTGGGTGAACTTAGCCTTGTCTCTTAGGAAGACAGGGGGCGGGACTTGCTTCTTCGCTAGTACTGGAGCACAACGAGAGGCTGGTTTGGATGGTGTAGGGATGTCTAGTGACATCAGTGGGACGGGGGCAGCGTCGAGGGTTGCGGAGGTTGAAGGAGCGGCAGGGGCCGCTGAAGTGGGGGGGGTGCGTTTTATCGCGGCGCGCTTTCCGTTGCGCTTGGAGGTGACGGTGGTGAAGTTGGACTCACCGGTTCCTTCGGAGTCAGAGGTCTCCGATGAACCGGAGCCTGAGGTAGTGGCGGGCCTCTTCCGGGAGGTCGGTGCCGAGGATTCGGAGCATGCGTACTCCATATCTAAGGGGGCAGATTCTAGTGGGGCAAAGGAGTTCCTCGTTTCGAGGTATGACTGTACTACTGGCGGTGGGAGGAGTGCCTGAGGGGCAGGGAGGGGAGCCTGGGCGGCGATGGTGGCGATGGCGGCGATGACCGTCTCATTGCCATTTAACCCGTATTGGGTAATGAGGGCGGCTAGGGACTCAGTGAAGCTGGAGTTGGCCATTTCGGTCGAGTAAGCTAAGCTAAGTAAAGTAAAGGTGAGGACGGGTCCCTGCTCTCGGTAGAACAGGGACTAGAACGCGAGACGTACTACAACACACTATGCACATAATAGTAATGCAAGAACACAAGAAAAATGACAGTACAAAAAAAAATGAATGAAAAATTATAATGAAAAATTATAATGAAAATGAATGAAAATGATAATGAAATGAAAATTAATGAAAAATGAAAATGAAGCGGAGGTCAGTCAGACCTCCCTGCCCGAAGACAGGGGGGTAAGAGCTGTAGCGAGAAGTGACTCACCGGCAGCCTCGACGCTGTTCCGCGTGAGCAGGACAGCGGAGACGCGTGAGAGCGAGACAGCACTACCGTACTGTACGGGAGCGCGGACCACCAGGAGGCGACCGTCCGAGAACGATGCCGCCGGCGGACTGAGCACTGCGTCGGCGCTGCACAGCGCGAGCGGGACAGCGGAGGCGCGAGAGCGGGAGAGCACTACCGTACAGGAACGAAAGCGCGGACTACCTAGATGCGACCGCTCGGAAGCGATGCCACAGGCGGAATGTCGAGGTCAATCGTTTTCTTTTAGTTTTATACCCAGATCCTGTCATGTTAAATTGATCAATTTTCTCATCAGCCTTTCGTTTTAAATTCGGACTAACTTGCTTTAGACGATCTTTTATTGAGGCTTCCATAGGACGCGCTTGAACCATATCCGATAAAAGTCCTACTCCAGCGCTTAATGCCTCCTTACCAATCACTCGAGCACCACTTGAAAGTAAAGGTAGAGCTTGTCTAAACTGAAATGACGCGCCCCACTACTTAATTAGTTGATTTCGATGTGTGAGTGTAAATATTAATAACGACACTTCATCTGTGTTTGAGCGTCGACTGCTCCGCGAACTATGATCTGTATGCCTACGTGACGGTCGACTAGACGCGTGATAAATCCGACAACGCTCTCCTTAGGGAGCAGCGTTGGGGCATTGTATGAAACAAAACGTCCGCTCTCTGCCACCTTCAGGCAATTATGACAAGTTGGACAAAAAATCCAAGAAAATCCGCTTCTTAGCAAATACGGTCTACAAAGAAATTGAAGTTAAATTATTTAATTATGATGGTATTTCTTCTATTTGTTAATTAATGGTTCAAAATATATTGTTTTTATTTTGTAATTATGTAGATTAATTAAACCAGATTGATATTCTTTCGAAATATTTATTTTACAAATTAGTATAATTACTATAATAATATGCATGTAAATTATGTAAAGTATCACTATTCACTCATCTCCATAGATTCACTTTCATCTGAATCAGAGTCATTAACAGAAATAATAAATTCAAAGTCCATGTCAAAATATTGCAAATACTATTTTTCTGTGTCTTCAACATGCCGACATGCATTTGCCCACATAGTACTATCAATCATTTCGAGTCGTTCATTTATAAGTGACATAATGGATGTAAAATTTTGTGAAACATTTTTATTAGCCACGTAGTTTTTTAATATCCCCCATATATTTTCAATTGGATTTAGTTCCGGGTGATAAGTAAGTAGTAAGATAAGTCGTAGAATTTCAAACCCTTTTGATTGAATCAGTTCGCCAATAACGAACGTCTTGAATCTGTCCTTATTTTTTAAAATAAGATCGTACAGTTCAATTTTTTTCATTGATTCGTCAAACTGAATATTTTTTTCTGCAAGCCACGTTTGCATGACTTGCTTATTTGAGTTGGAGTTGGGAGCTTTTTCTAATAAAGCATTGTGGTAAGAAGCGTTATCCACAACGATGACAGCCTTTAGCAGGAGATTGGGCAGTAATTGTGTGGTGAGCCATTTCTTATAATTATCCAGATTCATGTTGTCGTGATAATCTCCACTTGTGTAGTTTGCTTTATACACCAAACTAGCATTTGGAACAAATCCTTCACATCCACCAGCGTGAACAATTATGACCTTAAATAAACCTTTCGACAACTTTTTTTGCACTGCTGATACTCCTTTGACTGGTTTCCAGCACATGTTTTGCAGATGTGTTGTATGAACATAACTTTCATCTGTGTATACGATATAGCGGCCCACGTCACGATATTTTTTTAATTGCCTCAAATATTGAAAGCGTAACATTTGGATATCATGCTTTTCTACTAAAGCTTTACGGTTGTCATCTATTTTGGACCACTCGTAGCCCGATTCCTTCAAAATGATACGCAGAGTTTCTATACAACCGTTAAAACCAATTCTTTCTGTTAATACTTGTTTCAGCTTTCTTAACGTTGGTAATTCATTAAATTCTGTATGAAATGTCGCTATCGTTCTGCGAAGTATACCCATATCAAAATCATCCAGGTTAGACTTGGTACGCTTCCTTTTTGGTTTTGAGGGCGATCTAAAAATTTTTTGTGACGTATCATTTGATGTACTAGCTTGCTTCTCTTCTTTCAAAATTCGTGTAATCGTAGATTCACTAACACCAACGGCTTGAGCAGTTCGCCATCTAGCGTCAGATAGTTTTTCCACTCCATTTTCCGCTTCATATTTCATTCTGCGGTACACTTTCGCAGTAATTTCTTTTGCCTGTAAAATGTATGCATGTAAACCACCATAAAAACGATGTATGATTAAATAAGATTTTAAGCAATAACGTATTATTTTACTTACTTGACTCCGTAAATGTTTTTTGATCGACATGCTGACGGTACTTTTACAATCGAACGACGCGTGCTCCTACGCTTGAGTCTCACCGACAACCGAATGACCAATCACAATGGCATTTGTATATGTATTGCGTCCATATTTTAAATTTGCTTGTGTGCGTTAATGCGATAGTGGGGCGCGTCATTTCAGCTTAGACGATCTATAAAACTGATGTAAATAACCCCCCTAAGAAGCTCCCAATACCATGACCGCGTTGGTATGGTGCACCCTTATAAATTACTCCAACTCCTGACCCAGCTTGATGTCTATAATAATTTTCATATGGACATTTATGATGATCACGAAGAGAATTCATTATTATAATTTTCGGAAATGTAATTTAATACACACGGTTCCAAACTGGAATGGTATTTTTTGTCCTGTGCTCGATCTTATAACTATTTCCAGCGTATCGAACTCTTTTCGCATAACAGGTAAGTAGTGAGGTTGAGAGAAAACGTGCATTTTATTTGCACCATAAATGTATTTTGTAGGATCTAATGAAATGACTCTTAGTAAAGGAGTCATAACATCACCCACAATCTGAGGATGTCGCAATATAGAAAGAGTTGAGATGGTAACCCTGAGTGTAAATTAGCAGGACACTTTCCAAAATTTCTCTCTAGGAGATTTTTATTTGGTTCATAACCTAGTTGTAAACTTAATTTGGGTGATAATGTTACGGATGTTATATTTTTATCCAAAACAGAAATAGACACAAATTTTGTTATTTCATCATAGCGAAATTTCAAGTTCTCTCCGATACCATTTAACACTCTTAAAATATGCTCAACGTTATCATAATTGGTAGCTGGAATATGTTTTTTGTAGTACACTGTGGATGGTTTATCTTCATTAGGCATTAACATAGATTTTGTAATGTATATAACATTTTCATGATCTTGAACAGTAAACATGGTACATGGATATTGAAACTCGACAACTCCAACCGACCATTCACCTTCTAATTAAATAGCTTTCGGTAATTTCGTTGAAAAATTTGTGGTCTTGATATCAGGAAAGAATTCCATTGAACTATTGCTGAGCAAAGTTAAATAAAAACTTTCTTTATTCATATTTCTTTTAAACTAGAAGCTAAAATCCAACTGTTAAATTTATCGGGATAACCTTTCCACTTTACTAATACTTCTTTTCTGTTACCTGAGTAACGAGTGTCAATTATTTTATCTATTTTATATTGTGAGGTGGGGTTGTAAGTGATTTTCTGTAATTCTCTTTCATAAAAAGTACCAACTATTGGTTCATTTTGTAAATCTGTTATTGTATAAACAACCCATGGAGATCTATCAATTATTGAAGATATAATAAATATTTCATCACTCCAATTTGATTCATATCCGTTTTGGAAAACATGTTTATATTTAGTTATTCGAACATAATCTTTGTTCGAATAACTAAATATAAACATGTTTTGAAATTTGGTTTAGGATTTTCTAAAGAAAGTTTGTTTGACCGTCTATCATAAAGATTAGTCCAAACTGTCATAATATTGTTGGAATTTACATCACATGGGCACATCTTAATACTAGAGTGAAAGTTGTGATTATAAGAGTATATTAAATCTTGTAAAACATCTATATATGTATCTATAAGTATTATTATGAGTGAAATAACGCCACCTTTTTAATTTTTAGTGTTCTTTGAAATCGTTCAACAATACTGGCCTTAATGTCAGGATTGTTAGTGGTATAGTAATTAATCTTTTTGGATTTAAAGTATTTTTGTACATCTTTTGAAACAAATTCCGTACCTTTATCAGATTGTATGTGAGTAGGTGTTAAATTACTTTCAGTAAATATACTTTCAAAACATTCTTTAGTTGTTTCTGAGTTTTTCTTTTTTAAAATAATGGTAAAATCATGAAAGAATTTGTGGGTTTACGATCCAAAATGTACGCTTTTAACTTAGAGAATAAGACTATAGCTAAGGCAAAAGGGGTAAATAAATGTATCACTAAAAAGATGACCATGGATAGTTATAAGTCTTCTCTATTTAATAAAAAAGTGCAATATTATAGTATGCTTAGATTTAAATCAATTAAACACACAATTTTTTACACAAAAATTAAATAAGATTGGTTTATCATATAATGACACAAAGAGGCATATTTTAGATAATAATATTGAAACATTAGCTTGGGGTCATAAACTGCGTTAAGTTATGTCTGCATGTAAATAAAATTTGTATTGATTCTAAAATAATGATAATAGTATAATATGACGTAGAGTTTATTACATAATCGTTGTTTTATTGTAAATAATTTAAGTTAATTGTTGTTTATATTTGCGTGTGTGTGTATTTATTTGAGGTTGAGTTGATTGTAAAATTATGATGTACTAATTGTGTTAGAAATAGTATACAGATCATTCTGTTTTATATAATTTTTGCAATATATATTAATTGTTAACACCAACACTTTCATTTTTTATTTCACCCCTTAGAACTTTAGACGTGTGTAATGTTTCATTTTATCCATCCGTTTACTGCAATCGTGGCAGGACCAAGTGGATGTGGGAAGTCAAATTTTGTAACAAATTTCATAAAATCAGTTACAGAAATATGTAATTGTGATTTTAATCAGATCACATGGTGCTTTGATGAAATGCAACCTTTATATAATTTACCAAATGTTAACTACCATCAAGGAATTCCAAATGTTAATATGTTTGATGGTGAAAACCCACATCTTGTTATTATTGATGATCTAATGAGAGAGTCCGATGGAACAATTGTGAATATATTTACAAAAGGTAGTCATCACAGGAATCTTAGTGTATTTTATTTAACACAAAATTTATTTCATCAGGGTAAAGGGCAAAGAGACATATCCTTAAACTCAAGTTATATAATATATTTTAAAAACCCTCGAGATAAAACTCAAATAAGATATTTAGCACGACAAGTGTCACCAGATAACCCAAAATTCATTGAAGATCCCTACAGGGATGCAACTCTAGAGGCGCATGGATATTTAATGGTAGATTTAAAACAGAATACCAATGATTTTTGTCGTATCAAGACAAATGTCTTCCCATTTAATGGTTTCTGTACAGTCTACGTCCCCACAAAAGAGTTTAAATACACCAAGAATCAAACATTTCAAATCATTGCTAAATGATGCATCGTCGACTCACAACGCATAAACATTTGCTAAACGCTTTGCATACGCTTAAACCAAAATATCAAAGAGCATTACTTAAAACGTGTGATGAAGAAGAAATTAACTGTATTTGTGAGTGTATTCATTCAAGGAAAAGTACCTCTTAAAGATCAAGATAAACAAAAATTGAATAAACACAAAAATATACTCCGTCAACTAGTGCGTAAGTGTAAACATAAAGTAATAAAAAATATAATTATACAAAAAAGGAGGGGCTTTCTTACCAATAATATTAGGTGCAATATTAAGTGGATTAGTGAGTGGACTAGCCAGTTAACATGGAAAATGCAAAGAAAATGATACTTATCGAACCTGGATTGATTGAAAAATTAAAACAAGAAAATAAGGTTAATAGTAGTTGATCTCGATTAGATATTGAAATGCAAAATATTATGAATAGTAAGACGGAAGACCGAAAGAAATGGATGTTATATTTACAAACACTGCGAAGATACCTTCATTTTACCGAAGAGGATCGTCAACCACTCAGATTACCAATTTATTCTGATACTTCTAATGAAGATTCAAACAAGTCTAAAATTGGTTTTAAAAATAAAGATAGAGATCTAAAAACTTCAGTTGATGCTGAATCTTTGTTGGAGGAGAATCGATCCATTAAAAGTAAAGAAAATGTTGAAAATCCACTTTACACACCAGCTCAAATACTCAGTTTAATACCAAAAACTTATAATAAAAAAGGACAGTTATTATTAAACTTAGTTGAAACAAGTAAAGGTAAAATACATTGGGATAATGAAAGTACAGTCATAATTGATAATGAAAAAATTCCTGGAATTAATATTGTCGATTTAATAAATGATTCACTAAGACCCTTAAAAAAAGTGATCCTGTAGGGTGGGATAGATTTGCTGAAGCATTAAAAGATATTAATATCAGAATAAATTGGTAATCTGAGTGGTTGACGATCCTCTTCGGTAAAATGAAGGTATCTTCGCAGTGTTTGTAAATATAACATCCATTTCTTTCGGTCTTCCGTCTTACTATTCATAATATTTTGCATTTCAATATCTAATCGAGATCAACTACTATTAACCTTATTTTCTTGTTTTAATTTTTCAATCAATCCAGGTTCGATAAGTATCATTTTCTTTGCATTTTCCATGTTAACTGGCTAGTCCACTCACTAATCCACTTAATATTGCACCTAATATTATTGGTAAGAAAGCCCCTCCTTTTTGTATAATTATATTTTTTATTACTTTATGTTTACACTTACGCACTAGTTGACGGAGTATATTTTTGTGTTTATTCAATTTTTGTTTATCTTGATCTTTAAGAGGTACTTTTCCTTGTGAATACACTCACAAATACTGTTAATTTCTTCTTCATCACACGTTTTAAGTAATGCTCTTTGATATTTTGGTTTAAGCGTATGCAAAGCGTTTAGCAAATGTTTATGCGTTGTGAGTCGACGATGCATCATTTAGCAATGATTTGAAATGTTTGATTCTTGGTGTATTTAAACTCTTTTGTGGCTTGATACGACAAAAATCATTGGTATTCTGTTTTAAATCTACCATTAAATATCCATGCGCCTCTAGAGTTGCATCCCTGTAGGGATCTTCAATGAATTTTGGGTTATCTGGTGACACTTGTCGTGCTAAATATCTTATTTGAGTTTTATCTCGAGGGTTTTTAAAATATATTATATAACTTGAGTTTAAGGATATGTCTCTTTGCCCTTTACCCTGATGAAATAAATTTTGTGTTAAATAAAATACACTAAGATTCCTGTGATGACTACCTTTTGTAAATATATCCACAATTCTTCCATCGGACTCTCTCATTAGAT